CTCCAGCCCACAGCCCCAGGGCGCAGTTTCTCAGGCTCGGGCCTTCCCTCAGGACAAGTAAACTCAGTGGCAGGTGCCTAAGACTAGGGGGCTGAGATCATGACCCCAGGAAGCAAGTTCTTAGGCTGAGGACTCGGGCCCTTTGCCTCAAGAAGTGATTTCCCAGGCTCAAAACCCCACGATGAAATCAATACCAGTAGGGATCAGATCCATTGCCCCAGGAAGTAGTTTCCTAGCTAAGGCCCACTGCCCCAGGAAGTGATTTCCTGGCTAAGGCCCACTGCCCCAGGAAGTAGTTTCCTAGCTAAGGTCCACTGCTCCAGGAAGTAGTTTCCTGGCTAAGGCCCACTGCCCCAGGAAGTAGTTTCCTGGCTAAGGCCCACTGCCCCAGGAAGTGACCTTCCAGGCTGAGTTCCATGTGTCTGATGGGAAAGGCCCGCACAAGGGCCCGCCTTGCCCCTCGAGGTTCCTTCCTACTCCCGGGAGCGGGGAAGGCAGGGACCCAGCCCGGAGAGGAAAGTGCTCAGGGCGTGCACCTGCTCTTACTTCACAGAGCAGCCCCTTGGTGCAGTAAGGGCCCCGGGGCATGAAGGCTGCTTACCTGGAGGAGGCTTAGGAGTCCGGGAACCGAGCTGCGCCCATCTCAGACCTGAACCCCCGTTCTCTGGAGAGATCTCCTAAGCAAATTAGACACTTCCATTCAGTTCATCCGTCCATGACCCCGTCCTCACAGACGGAGCCGCTGAAGCTCGGAGATCTCGCCCAAGACCCCACAGCCGCCCCGCGGGCGCCCTGGGCCCTCCCGGCCGCCCTCGGAGCCTGTCGCACGCAGCACGTGTCACGCCGCTTCAGCACAGCCCAAGGGTCGAGTGCCCATAGCCTGTCGGGTTAAGGTGTCGGCAGGATGCACAAATGATAAGAAATAGTGCAACTGTACTGGTAAGAGTTATAGGGAAGCTAAGCTTTCGGGCCGCCCAAGGCCACAGCGGCAACAGGCAGGCGCGCGGCGGCGCACAGCAGGCGGCCCTC